CTGTAGATATAAAAGGTTTAAATAAATCAAATATATGATTAAAGTAATTTAAATTTTTACTACTTTGACCGAAAATAAATCTACTATTACCGGATCTACATTGTAAATGACCGTCTCCTAATAATAAACCAATTAATATTTCATTTAATGGACTATCTATATTGAATTTTAATCTTTCGACTTTAGTTAATCTCTTTTTAACTAAAGTCGTGTAATTTTTTTTATATATATTTACCCATAATCTTTCGAATATGGCTGGACTATATCTTCATCCTTTAATTATTGATATAAAGGAGCTTCACGTGTAGTCTCTGAGGATCCTACTCATTAAATAGTTTGTTTTATTTATATTTTTCTCTGCTTTTATACTTTTGAATAATAAATAGCTTAGTCTAGTAATTGTAGGAAAAGGGAATTTACTTATAATCTTCTGATACAACATCATAATTAAGAATATAGTAATTATAAAATAGTTATTTCTACGCATATACTTAGTATAAAATTTTAATAATTAACAGGCTTTGTAGTCCCTTAAGGAATCGAACCTTACTTAGTTTAAGGAGATGAAAATCAATAACTTCAAAGTTAGAAACCTTAAACTTGATTCTCCAAAATCAAAAGGACTGTAATGTTCCTTAGTATAAAATTTTACGGAAAGGGGGATAACACCTTAATTTTAAACTCAATAAATGTTACTTAGTATAGTAGAAGAATCTTCACATATTAAATGAACACTACCTAGTAGAGTATTAGATGCTAAATTTTCGTCTGTAGGACTTGGTGTAGAGGTATAATATAAGGAATTCTATCTGTACCTGGAGTACTTGATACTGCACTACTACTGCAGCTAACATATAGAATATCACCCTCACGTCTTACATGATCTAAAGTTCTAGGAGTACCTACAAATTGCATATTTCCATTAAATATTCTATTCATAGAACTAAACATATTAGGATAAGAAGTATAATTTAGATCTGAGAAAGATTCAGTACTTGAATAACTAGAATCAAATACACTTCTACCTTTTTGTACTGATACTTCTGCTGTTAGTATAGGATCTGTTTGAGTGAATTTATCTACTACTATTACAGGGTCTGCTTGTAGTGATTTATCTATCATTACATAATCTGTTTCTATAGATTTATCTAACTTTATTTTATTTCTATAATTATTAGGAGTAATTGTTTCTAGGGAATCTGTAGGACTTACAAGACTGTCCTCTCCTAAATCTTTTAAACTTAGGGTGTTAGTATCTGTTCCTGCATCTCCACCTTGATTTGGCCCTTGAGAAGAATAATAGTAATATATTCCAATTCCTAGTAAAGTTACTATAAAAATAGCTGGAGCTACATAATAATAAGTATAATCATTATTATCTGTGTAAGATACAAGATCTACAACTTCTAATTTTTGTTTTGATCCACTTTCTTCTATTATGTTTAAATCACTTCCAGAATTTAAGATACTGTTTTTATATCTTAAAGGTGAAGGTAAGGAAAGATTATAATCTCTTCTTTGTTCTAGTATTGATCTTAAATCTGAGAATAAATTACATGTGTTAGATAACTCATTTATTAAACTTAAAGTACCTTGTGTAAATAAATTTAATAAGTACTCGTTATGTTTACCTAGATAGGTAAATAACGTATTCAACATATAATTAATAATAGAAATTATTAAATATGTTTTAAAAGCTTGTAAGCTAAATAAAGATGTTTTTTTCATTATTATTTATTAATATTTTTACCCGTACATTTGAAGTTCTTATCTAAGAACTAGCCTATACGTGGGCTTCTGCTATTGCATATACCTTCTTAGGGAATCAAACCCTAGTAATCTTAATGATGCGGGCCTGGCCCAAAGAAAATAAAGAAAGTTAAGATTAGATTTATCATAATCGAGAAGGTGTTAATTGAGCATTATAGCATTATAAGTATCTATATTGTATAAATATTCTATCCTTTTTATCTAAGATTGGATGAAGTTCTTTTACTTCTTTGGATAGTAATTCAATTAGTAAATCCTGGAAAGCATTCCTTTTACTTATATTTACTCTAAAATCAGTAAAGTTTGTAGGTAAATATTCTCATTTTATTAATATTGACTCTCCTTCTATGGTAATATAATTTGTAGGTATAGCTCCTATAAAAGACGGATCTTTAACACGATAGAGGTAACGCAATTCTATATCGTATTTATTCAATCTACCTAAAAATATAAAAGAGAATCACATACTATTTAGTAATTTAGTAAAGGTTTTCCTATTAAAACTTTTTAAGAATACTCAATTATTAAAACATAATCAAACATTTTTGGGTATCATGGCTTCTTTTACAATTGTAAAATACGCGTTAATGATATAGCTACTTAGATATTGGTGTGTAATTTACGAAAATTCTATCTATGTTTTTAGGATCAAAATTAACAAATCTATTACTATAAATTTTATTATTTATTTTTCTTTTTAAAGTTGTTAATTCTTTGGAGTTTATTATTAATTTATATACTATTCTATAATATCTAAATTTATCTGAATTAGAGGTTCTAAGACTAACATTTATTTCATAATTTGTATTGGGTCTAAGTTCTTTTTCTAATTCGTCTATTGAATTATTTAATTTATTTAGGCTATATCCATTATCAAAGATTAAGTCTAAATATTTTTTCACTTCTTTTAAAATCTTAATAGATTAAAAATAAGACTTTGGAAAATGGGAAAATTAAATATTTTATATTGTTGAGAGAAAAATAGAGATATAAAACAAATACTTAATTTTGGTTTCCTGCTGATTGTCCATTGTAACATCTTTAAGATTTTCACTATACTAATATTTTAAATATAGTACTTAAAGCTTTAGGAGTTTCCAGCATATAGAGAAGTATATTTTTCATAAGATTACTCTTAAGCGTGACATCTTAATATCACTCAGGAACAATAGATGCTGGTGTACTCATAGGATTTGCTGGTATATAGTTATCACTATGTCCTAATAAATTAGGATAATAGAAAATTATTATAGATAATACTAAGAAGAATAATAAAATTGTAACTAAATCTTTAAACACAAAGTATGGATGCATAGGTATTCTATCTATATTTCCAGTTACTCCTACAGGATTACTTGAACCATGTTGATGTAATGTTAACATATGTAATGCAGCTAGAGCAGCTAAAATAAATGGTAGTAAATAATGTAATGAGAAGAATCTATTTAATGTAGCATTATTTACACTGAAACCTCCTCAAACTAATTGAACGAAATCTTGTCCTACATAAGGTATTGCACTTAATAAGTTAGTAATAACTGTAGCACCTCATAGAGACATTTGACCATAAGGTAAAACATAACCTAAGAATGCTGTAGCCATCATAACTACTAAAATTATAACTCCTATTGATCATGGTAATACTCTAGGTGATTTATATGAACCGTAATATAATCCTCTTCCAATATGTGCATATACAAATATAAAGAAGAAAGAAGCTACATTAGCGTGTGCATATCTAATTGCTCATCCCATATTAACATCTCTCATAATATGCTCTACACTTACAAAAGCTAAATCTACATTAGGTGTATAATGCATAGCTAAGAATACTCCAGTTAAGATTTGTATACCTAAACAAAGTGCTAATAGAGAACCAAAGTTTCATAAATAAGAAATATTAGATGGTTGAGGCGAATCTACCATATAAGAATTAAATAGGCTTAAAATAGGATGACTTTTTAAAATACGCATATTTTAAGTAAAATAAAAATTTTATAATTAACAGGCTTTTTAGGCTGTACTGGAATCAAACCAGTTTCTCTTAAGTGTAAATTAAGTGCTAAATCAGTCAGCTAACAGCCTTTACTAAAAATTAGTAATAATTTATGCATAATATGTTAAAAAGGGGGGGGTATGTAATTTAAGTTTACTAATAGTCCTTCCATTTTTCTATAAGAATATAGAATATCCTTGAAAAAGAGTGGCTATAATAATTTTATATTACAAACTTAAGTCATTATTACAAGGATTAGATTCAAAGAATCTACACTAATGTAATAATATAGCATCTTTAAGATAAGAACATGTTAAGATACAGAATACATAAGCTTGTATTACTGAAACTGCTAATTCTAATCCTATTAAAGCAATAAAGATAGAGAATGGTATTAATGTTAATACAAACATAAAGATACTTGATGCAAACATTTGACCTAAGAATGTTGCTAATATTTTTAATAGAGTATGACCTGCAACAACATTAGCAAATAATCTTATACCTAATGAGAATGCTCTAGCACAATATGATAATAATTCAATAAGAACTAATAATGGTACTAATGCTAAAGGTGTTCCAGAAGGAATGAAGTAAGAAAAGAATTTTACTTTATGTTTAGCTAAAGATAAAATAGTTACTCCAATAAAGATTGTAAAGCTTAATCCAATTGAAACAATCATAGATGTTGTAATTGTAAAGTTATAAGGAATATTACCCATTAAGTTACTTATAATTATAAAGAAAAATAATGAATATATAAAAGGTAAATAAGCTTCATGTGCTGTACCTATTTGATCTCTTACCATTCCACTAATGCTTGCAAATAAACTTTCTAAAGCTATAGATCATTTTGAAGGTATTATTTTATTATTATTAGCAGTAAAATAATGTACTGAAACTATTAATGATAAAATTATTAAAGAGTATAACCCTAAGTTAGTTAAACTTATATTTAAGTACCCTAAGATTGGTGCATTTATGCTTATTAAATTTACAACCTCAAATTGGTCTAGAGGTGAATATATATTAAAATTTGTATTCAAAATTTTTAATTTTTAAGTAGAAGTAGTTACACATTATATACTTTAAATTTTTACTTTAAAGTATTTATACTTCTTTTAAACTTTAAAGCTCTGTGTCTAGAAATTTAGCTTGTTTAAAGTTTATACTTTTTTTTTAAAAATTTTCCTCTTTTAAACTATTATAAACCAAACTAAAATAAATATAAACATACGAATAATCGGACTCGAACTGATAATAACTACGTGGAAGGTAGTTGTTATAACCATTTAACTATACTCGCTTTCTTATATTTGCTTCTTTTAAAAACAAAAATTTTTTAATAATTTATATAAAAAGGGGGAGAGATAAAATCTCTATATTGTTTAAGTATTGTGCTTATGGCTTAAACAATAAATTATTCTTTAATTATTATAGATTTATGCTCAGTAAATTTTAGAACACCTTTTCCTAATTCAAATACAAATCCAATAGTTAAAATAGAGAAGAAAATTACTGTAATAGTGAAACCATATGTAGAAACATCATATAGAGTTACAGATATTGGATATAATAGTAAAATTTCTAGGTCAAATACTAAGAATAAAATAGCTACAATATAAAAATGAATAGAGAATTGTGATCTAGTTTGTCCGTAAATAGGAGCAAATCCACATTCATAAGGAGATAATTTTTCAGTATCAGGTTTATGTACTGCTAATATTAGATTAAGTGCTAATAAAATAACTGCTAATACAGGTACAAATATAAATAAAATCATTAATGTATTCATTATTAACTATAGAAAATATTTAAAGCCATTAGATGAGTGCTATTTAATAAAATAGAAGGTTTTAAGATAAATAATAATAAAGCTAAAGTACATACAGATATTAAATAACTTTGTAAGTTAGTAATATTACGTACATTTCCATTTTCTATTTCTTGTGCTTCAAAATGCATTACTCTTATTATTTTTAGATAATAATAAGCACTTATTACACTAACTAAAATTGCTATAATAGATACAAAGAAATAACCATTAGCAATTGAAGCATACAATACTTGCTGTTTAGCAAAGAATCCTATTAATGGAGGTATTCCAGCCATAGAGAATAAAGAAACTGCTAAACTTAAAGCTAGTATAGGATGATTGTTAAATTGACCTTTTAAATTAGATATTAATGTAATATCTGAAGATTTATTTAATATATATCCAAAAGATAATAATATTAAAAAGGCATTTAAGTTAGTTATAGAATATTGTATTAAATAAAATATTAAAGATTCTAATGATTCTTCAGTATTAATAGCTAAAGCTAATAATAAAAATCCTACATGAGATATAGTACTAAAGGCTAATAATCTTTTGATTTTTACTTGAGCTAAACCTACTATTGTACCTATTAATAAAGATAAAACTGAACTTATTAATAATAAAGTTTTAAATATTGGTAAAGACATTGAACTTACTATTTCTACTAATAGTATTACTATAGAGATTTTAGGCATTATAGTTAATCAAGTAGTAATAATTGTAGGTACATCATTATATACATCAGGAGCTCAATTATGGAAAGGAGCTGCTGCTATTTTAAATAATAGACCTATTAATATTAATACTAAACCTAATTCTAATCCTTGAGTAACTGCAGATGTTTCAGCAGTACTACTAATGAAAGTATAGATACCTTCAAATGAAGTTAAACCTGTATAAGAATAAATTAAACCTGCTCCTAATAAGATTAAACATGAAGATAAACCTCCTAATAAGAAGTATTTTAAACCTGCACTGGTTGCAGATTCTGAATCTCTATACATTGTAGCTAAAATATATACACCAAAAGATTGTAATTCTAATGATAAATACATTCCTACTAAATTTACAGAACTTAATAATAATGAACTACCTAAAGTAGAAAATATTACTATTAATGAATATTCTGATACTACTGGACCTATTATAGTACTTGTCTCTCCTTTATTTGATGAGCTTAACCCTAAATAAGGTTGTACTAAGTTTTTTATAGGTCAAGGTGTTATAACTAAAGAAGCTATAATAAAAATAAAGATATCAAAACATTGAGAAATGTTTGTTATTTGGAATAATCCACTATAAATACCAATTCCTGATCCAATTGACTGAATATATAAAGTATTAAATGATAATACTCCAGAAAAAAGAAATATTATAGAAGTTAATCTAGTTATAATTATTGAAGATATACCTATATTAGGTAAAGATAGGGCTACAATTAAAAAAATTAAACATATTGATAGCATCTAAGTTTTTTTATGTTTTCTTTTTTTACCTAATTTCTATTTAATATAAAATTAAAGGGGCTAACCACTATAAAAGTAATATAATAATATAGATTTATTATTCATACTTTAAAAAAGTAGCATAGTAGATTATAAGAATCTAGTCCATAAACTTAACCCTAAGAATAAAGTTTAAAATTTTATAAATAAGGAAGAAAGTGTAAAATAAAGATACATTATAAGACCGAAAGGACTCGAACCTATATCTAACCCATTATGAGCGAGTGGCATTAGCCGATTATGCTACAGTCTCTGAATCTATAACACCTTTTTTTTAAGGTGTGTTTAAGTCTTAAATATGAAGCTTAAATTTTTATTTTTTGAGCTGAAAAGGAATCGAACCTCTCCCGATCATAAAGATCAATTTTTTTACAGAAAACCCTAATTACCATTCTAGCATCAGCTCTTTTTACATTGTCCTTAAGCATTGTATTACCTCTTTTAAAATGAATATATAAAAATTGGTTATTTCTCTAAGCCTGAGCCTTAAATTATAAAAAAGATAATTACCCCTCCTTATTTTTATAACTTGATTGTTATATTAAGGGGTAGGTCTTTGATTAGACCTATAAGTATTATTAATTATAGTTTAAAGTAAGTATTGAAGCATGTAATGTATCTAATACAACATTAGGATATATACCTAAAGCAACTGTACCTATTAATAAAGGTAATAATAACATAAATTCTCTTCTACTTAAATCTTTTGTAGGTTTTAAATGTTTAGAGAATTGTCCATAACTAATTCTATTATATAGTCAAATACTATATATAGCAGATAAAACTATAGAACTAGATCCTAAAATACCCATAATAGGAGATCTTTGGAAGATTCCAGTTAGAGATAAGAATTCTCCAGCTCAGTTTAAAGATAAAGGAACAGCAGCATTGAATAAAGTAAAGCAGAAGAATAATATAGTAAATACTGGCATTATTAAAACCATACCTCTATAATAAGGTATTAATCTACTATGATATCTAGAGTATAAAACTCCACCTACACAAATAAATAATGCTGGACTTACAAATCCATGTGCTAAACTTAATAAAATAGCACCTTCTATTCCTTGTATATTATTACTGAAAAGTCCTAAAATTACTATAGCCATATGAGAGATAGATGAATAAGCAACATATCCTTTAGAATCTATTTGTCTTATAGTTGTTAAAGATGAATAAATTAAAGTTACTACTGCAATAGTTTGCACAAAAGGTGAGAAGAATTCTGTAGCATCTGGTAAAATTTCAATTAAAATTCTCATGTAACCATAAGTAGCTAATTTTAAGATAACAGCAGCTAGTAAAATACTTCCTGCTAATGGTGCTTCAGCATGAGCTTTAGGTAATCAGATATGTAAAGGTCATAGAGGAGTTTTAACAGCAAAACTTAAGAAGAATGCTAAGAATAATAATTTTTGATTCTCTAAAGAAATTTCAAATAAACTAATTAATTTAAAGTCTGTTGAACCTACATTAGAGTAAATCATCATTATTGCTAATAACATAAATAAAGATCCTGCTAAAGTATATAAAAATAAATAAAATGCAGCTCTTATTCTGTCTGCACTAGCTCCTCAAATTCCTACAATTAAGAATAAAGGTATTAAAACACTTTCAAAGAATACATAGAATAATAGTAAATCTAATACTACGAAAACTGCTATTTGTAAAGTTTCTAATAGTAAGAAAGATATTAAGAAATATTTAATTTTTTTAATATCATTTCAATTACTTAAAATACATATTGGTGTTATAAATGTTGTTAATAAAACAAAATATAAAGATATACCATCTACTCCAATGTTAAAGTGAAAGTTATCTAAATAAGTAAATTCTTGTACAAATTGATATCCACTACTCATTGAATCAAATTGAATTCAAAGTACTAGAGATATGATTAAGTTTACTAAAGAAGTAAATAGAGCTATTTGTTGTAATCTTTCTTTAGCTCTTGTTGTAGCATTTTCTTCTATTAATAATAAAGGTATACACCCTAGAAGAGGAACAACTAATAATAGTGTAAGCATTATTTTATTATAATTAGTATACCTTATTTATTCTTAAAATAAGGTTCATTTACACTCTATATTATACTGTAGATTATCTACACTACAATAATATAAAGTCATTATTATCTTATTAACAAATTTTATTTAAACCTTATATTTTTAAAGAAAAAGTGTTAATTGTTCTAAAGTGAATAAAATTTCATTATAAGTTAAAACCAAATTTTGGTATTTAGACTACTTTTACTTTAAATAGTTATAAATAAGGGGGAAAACCTTGAAATAAAACCTAGGTTTAAACTAAATAGTATCTAATTATAGTAGCATATGTTTCAGATACTAAGTTTTCTATCATAGGACTAGGTGTAGAGGTATTAAATAAGCCAATTTATCAGTACCAGGAGTACTTAATAATGCATCTTCACTAAAGGCTATATTTAATAAACCATTTTCATGTCTCATATGACTTAAAGTTCTAGGTGTTCCTACGAATTGCATATCTCTGTAAAATATACTATTAGGTTTATTTACATATAAACTATTAAGGTAATCAGAACTTGAATAACTTTTATCAAATATACTTTTCCCTGCTTGTATAGAATACTACTAATATAGAATTAGTTTGAGTAAATTTATCTACTACTATTACAGGGTCTGTGTGGGTAAATTTATCTAATAATATTACATTATGTTTGTCCTTTTGCTAGGAGTAATTGTTTCTAGGGAATAAGTATAACTAGATAAGTCTTTTATTGTATTTTCCAATACTAGAACTTGATCCTGGATCTGGTTAACCTTCTCTACCTTTACAATATTAGTACAACTCAATTCCTACTAAAGTTAAACAAATAATAGCCCCAACATAATAGTAAGTATTATCAGTTACTGGATCTACACTATTTAGGAAAGAAAAAGAATTTTCTTTATTCTCCAATGTTACAATTGGAGAATTTACTTTTTCATAATTTGGATTTAAACTTTCTTCTTAAAATCTTAAAGGTGAAGGTAATTCCAAGTTTTTATACTTATTATGTCTAATATTTAAATAGTATTCGCTATAATTATCTATTAAGGTAAATAGCATATTTAATATACCATTAAAGATTCATACAGTTAATGATGTTTTTATAATTTTTAAATTTAGCATTTTCATATTTTATTAAGAAATGGTGGTATATAGTCTTAGCCCCTATTTCAAATTTTTAGAAATAAAAATTTATTTATCTATGCTTTTATTTTAGTAATCCACATTACTGTTATAAGAATTTAGGAAAAGGGGGGTAAATCCATGGAGCATGGACCTAATATTATACTATTATTTAATAGAATAAATACTTATATTCTTTCTTTAATTAATAATAATGTAGGTATATATATTAATAATAATCTTATAGTATAAGATACATCAATATAATTAAATACAAAACTTTGGAATAATAAGAATAAAATAGTAATTAAACCTAAAACAATATATAGAGCATAAGTAGTTACTATACCTGTATCTCATTTAGATAAGTTTTTACCTGTATTTAATAAAGATTCAGATATACCATAAGGTCCCACTACTTCAATTAAACCTCTATCTAAAGTTTTATTTATAATATATCCTAATTGTAAACCTCCATTAATAATATAGTTATTATAAATAATATCTATTAAATATTTACCATTAAAGAAAGTATACAATTTTCTACCTATTTTATTATCAGTTAATTCTATTAAGAAAGAAGAATATCTATGGTATAATAGAACAGCAGATATTGCTGCTATTACACTTCCTACACTAGGTAATAATTTCATAGTTAAAGGTAAAGAGAATTCAGCTTCTACTAAAGTAATATGGTTAGGATGTATAAATAAAGAATTTGCAAAGAAATCTGTACCTATTCCCACAAATAAGTCTGCAAAAACAAAACCAAAGAATATACTTGCAATAGAAAGTAATGTTAATGGTATTATAACTGCTGTAGAAGCTTCATGTGAGTTAATATAATCAGATTTAGGTGCATTAGGATAAGTTAAGAATACTAAAGAAATTAAACGGAATGAATAAAATGCTGTAAATATTGCAGTTAAAGTACCTAAATAATATGCAGCACTTCCATTAAATTGATATTGAGCATAAGCTAATTCAATTATTAAATCTTTACTATAGAAACCTGTTAATCAAGGTAATGCCATTAAAGATAATGAACCAATTAATATAGCTGTATAAGTAAATGGCAAGAAATTGATTAATCCTCCTAATCTTCTAACATCTTGTTGATCTGCCATAGCATGTATTACTGAACCTGCAGCTAAGAATAATAAGGCTTTAAAGAAAGCATGATTTACTAAATGGAATAAAGCTACATTATATTGACTTAAACCTACAGCCATAAATAAATATCCCATTTGAGATATTGTACTGAAGGCAATAATTCTCTTTAAATCATTTTGAAGTAAACCTGCACTAGCAGCAAAGAATGCTGTTATTGAACCTACTCACATTATTACTATTAAAGCTGTACTTCCATATTCAATTAATGGAGATGATCTCATTAATAAGTACACTCCTGCAGTAACTAGTGTAGCAGCATGGATTAAAGCAGAAACTGGAGTTGGACCCTCCATAGAACCTGGTAATCAAGAATGTAAACCTATTTGAGCACTTTTACCCATTGCAGCTAATAATAATAATAATCCAATTATACTTATTATACTTTCATTAATATATGGTGATAAAGAAAATACTGTAGAATAATCTAAATTACCAAATACTCAGAATAAAGTAAAGAAGGCAATACTTAAAGACATATCACCAACTCTATTCATTGTGAAAGCTAATATAGCTGCTTTATTTGCTTGTACTCTAGTATATCAAAAATTAATTAATAAGTAAGAAGAAACTCCTATACCTTCTCATCCTATAAACATTATTAAATAATTAGCTCCAGTTACTAGAACTAACATAAAGAAAGTGAATAATGATAAATAAGAAAAGAATCTTTGATTATGAGGATCTTCTGACATATAAGAAATTGAATAAATATGTACTAAAGTAGATACATATAATACTGGAATTAACATTGATACTGTTAAACTATCAAATAAGAATTCTCAGTTTATAGATAAATATTCAGAATCTATTCAACTATTTAAAAAAATACTTACTGGAGAACTACATACTCCTATTTCATAAAAGGCTACTGTAGCTAAAATAGAACTTAATAATAAACAAGTACATGTTATTATGTGGCTACCACTT